TTGCAGGACCTTATGAGCAGTTTTCGATGATCCACAATGACCTCCCACCTCCTTAGAATGGCAATGGTTAAGGATCTCGTTAACTTCACTCTCTGAAACACACCTCCTAATCATATTATCCCTACAAATCTTAAAGAGGTAAGGTTCATCCCAAATGTAATGCTTCACATCAGACCAAAACTTTCTAAGCCTATGCTTGTCGAGTAGTTTAGGAGTTACATTACCTGCCAGATAATTTACAAAATTCGCATACCAAGGTGCCTTAGAGATTGCGAGGAGCCTCTCATCAGGAAAAGAGTCCTTGATCTCCTTCATTGTGGATTCCCTTACTGAAGCATCCAATCGGGACAAATGATCGGCTACAACATTCTCACTTTCTTTCTTGTCTCTAATTTCTACATCAAACTCTTGGAGAAGAAGAATCCATCGTATAATTCTTGGTTTAGCATCCTGTTTCGACAACAAATACTTGATTGTAAAATGGTCAGTGAAAACAACAACTCTGGACATTATCAGCTAAAAACGAAATTTATCAAATGCAAAGATAACAACAAGTAATTCCTTCTCTGTAACGGTGTAATTACGCTGAGCATCGTCTAAGGTTTTACTTGCATAGTAGATGGCATGAAACACCTTATCTTACCTTTGTCCCAGAATTGCTCCCACAGTTGCATCACTAGCATCACACATTAGCTCAAAAGGCAAAGACCAGTCAGGGCCACAATCACAGGAGCAATTATTAATTTCTCTTTTAATTTCATGAAAGCAAATAAACATGTTTCATCAAATTTAAACTCTACATCTTTAGCCAATAATTCAGAAAGGGGTTTTGCTATTCTTGAGAAGTTTTGTATAAACTTCCTATAAAACGCAGCATGCCCTAGAAAACTCCTGACTGCCTTTACACTTTTAAGGAGAGGTAATTTAGCAATAGTCTCAATCTTGGCAGGGTCTACTTCAATACCTTTTCCTGACACCTTGTGTCTCAAAACAATGCATTCATTAACCATAAACTGGCACTTCTCACAATTTAGAATCAAATTGGCCTTCTGACATCTCTGTAAAACTAAATCCAAGTTATGTACAAACCTATCAAATGTGGTGCCATATACAGAAAAATCATCCATGAAGATTTCAATACAATATTCTAACAAATCAGAAAATAAAGCCATCATACACCTTTGAAAAGTAGCAGGGGCATTACATAATCTAAACGACATTCGTTTATATGCAAATGTACCATAGGGGCATGTAAAGGTGGTTTTTTCTTGATCTTCAAGAGCCACGTGTATTTGCATATAACCAGAATAGCCATCTAAACAACAGTAAAATTCATGCCCAGTTAACTTCTCTAACATCTGATCAATAAAAGGGAGGGGGAAGTGATCCTTCTTGGTGGCTTCGTTAAGCTTCCTGTAGTCGATACACATCCTCCATCCTGTTACTTTTCTGACGGCGATGAGCTCCTGTTGCTCATTCTGCATAATAGTAGTCCGTCCTTTCTTTGGTACAACCTGTACAAGACTCACCTAAGGGCTATCAGAGATTGAGAATATGATATCGGCATCTAAGAACTTAATTACCTCATTTTTCACCACTTCTTTTAGACTATGATTTAATCGCCGTTGGGGTTGCATTTTTGGTTTGAACTCCTCCTCCAGGTGAATTCTATGAGTGCATATGGAAGGGTTGATGCCCTTCATATCATTGATGCTCCGCCCGAAAGCCTCCTTATTCTCCCTCAGTACTCTCAGAAGCTTATCCTCTATGCTACCTGTCAAATTATCAGAAATAATTACAGGTAAGTGAGATGGAGGGTTTAAAAAGGCATATTTAAGATTCGATGGTAGAGGTTTGAGTTCTAGTTCAGGAGATTCTTTGACTGATGGCTTGGTTCTTTTTCCGGAGTGTTCTCCTATATCTTCAAATATCCTTCACCCGAACCATCTTCCAGGCACCCCACTGTTTAATGCTAAGATCTTGTCTGTTATTTCTTCAGTGTCGTGAAGATCTCTCCTTTCTAATGTAAGTATCCTCTCCAACGCAACTTCTATTAATTTATCCTGTACCTGTAGCACATTTAGGGAGAGGGAGTTAGCATCTGCAGTTGTCACAAAATTACATGAATCAAAAGTGGATGGATGCTTGAGTGAATTAAAAACTTTAAATACTACTTCCTCATCATTCAATCTTAATGTAAGCTTCCCCTACTGAACATCTATTATCGTTTTTCTTGTGGCTAGGAAAGGCCTCCCTATTATGATGGGTACTTCGTCATCCTCTTCCATGTCAAGGACAATGAAATTTGCAGAAAACATAAACTTATCTGCCTTGAACGATCAGCAAGCTGCAGAGAGATTGAAGTTGACTTGTGTTCTTGCATACCCAACCTTCTAAACACAGAAAATGGCATTAGATTGATGCTAGCGCCTAAATCACAGAGCGCTTTATCAAAATAAGAATTTCCTATAATGCATGGAATTGTAAAACTCCCTGGATCCTTAAGCTTAGGCGGCAACTTCCTTAGTAAAATTACTGAGCACTCCTCATTCAATCTGACTGTCTCAAATTCTTCCAATTTCTTTTTGTTGCTTAGCATCTTCTTGAGAAATTTAGCATATTTCGACATCTGTGAGATGGTTTCATGTTCGGAATGGCAAGTGTACCCATCAAAAATTAATAAAGGATTTTCAACTAAGTTCTTAAAATATCATCCCACAAGGATTGTTTATCAACTACTAAAAGTTTTCCTAATTTAATTGTTTGAGCTTCAAATATGCAAGATTAATCAGGACGAGAATTTATAAAATCAATTGTAAAAACTAAGAGCAAGAAACACAGAGCACGTCTTGGTTACACTTATCAAAGAGAAATCTATGGCGTATTGGTGTTCTCATTTAATCCTTTATGCTATTTTTTCTATTTAGATCTAAATCCGATTTCCTGATTATTACTAATCATTTATACTAATACTATTAATATCCACTGGTCATGCAATATTAATATTCTTTTTTCTAAGTTAATATCCACAATGGTCATGCGAGTTATCAATTAGAAAAAGCTAAGGATCCTATGAATTTGTTAATTCAATAATAATTAGAAGATAAAGATTGGTTTGGTCTACCTAATCTTTTATCTTATTTTATCCTATAGATTTATTAATTAACCAATGTACGATCGCCTGACGATGTAATTAATTAGAGTTAAGAATGAGAAATGATAAGATAAATTCTAATCACGAAGCGTAAATCAAATTTAGATTCCAATATCAAAATTTCATAAAGTCATGAACAATAATTACCATAGCCCTAGCTATGAATTTAGTTACTCATGTAGAAAGAAAAAGCTAGAATAATCAATAACATATCCATAATGAAGAGAAAAGCAAACTAGAACAAGAGATGAATCTTTGATCTTCAAGTATGGTCACTTGAATCTCCAAGTGCTGCCAAGGGTGTGCCAAAGGTCCGTGCAAAAGAGGTGAAAGTGATCAAGAATCTTGAAAGGCCTTATGTGAAATGATGCTCACGGAAGATGATCATTTCTACGATGCCTCCTCTCCTCTATTGATAGAATTAGAACTCCTTTAAACTAGGCAAGTTTGGCTAACGCAAACAAGCACGACCGTGCATGATGGTGCAGCACGGTCGTGCATATTGTCGAAGCACCCCTGTGCTTCATTGGGCGTGCTTATTGCTGTGAAGCTTTTAAACCCATTCATTTGGGCGTAAAATGAACCAAAATCTACTTGTGGTCTCTTTATATCAAACTGCACAATTAATAAATAAATTAGTGTAAAACCTAATAAAAATAAAGGTCAAATATGAATAAATGACTGTAAAAGAGGGCTTAATTACAGACTTATCACTTCAACAAAAAGAATATTGATGTGGAGCTTTCTGAGGATCCTAAGGAACTTATTGAACTGAGGGTCTCTCTGGCTACTCATCATTTGTTGTGGAAATGGAACTTTCAGTTTTGTCACCACTGGTGCATCTTCCCTTGTCTCCTTTTTCGCATCTAGGTGGTAAGCACGACCTTGCTCATCATCCAGCACGGGCGTGCCTTCGTTGAGCACGACCTTGCTTCCGTCTAGCATGGCCGTGCCTTTATTTTCTGCAAGGGCGTGCTGTTCTAAGCATGATCATTTTGTTTTAGGCAGTATGGGCGTGCAGGGTGATGCAAGGGCGTGCTCCTCCTTCAGCACAGGCATGCATGACTTATGTGTTTGCGTCCCATTCAAAATTTTCCCACTTCTTAGAGTAATTGCCTTAGCTTGTTCCCTAGGATTCGGTTCTGGCTGCGACGGTAGTGCTCCTACTGCTCTTTGACTAAGGAGACTAGTGATTTGCTCTAACTGGGATTCGAGCTTTGAAGACTGAGTCCTCATCTCTGCCTTGATTTCTGCAAACCTCTTATCTTCCCTCTCAATCTGTTGTTCCATCTGGGCCTCAAGTTTTGCTATTCTCTTGTCAGAACTATACACATATTGCATCATCTGTTCTTGAAAATTGGATTGAAATCCAGGAGCTTCTTTTCTTTCTATCTTCTCCCCTTGATTTTGTACATGGAGGGGACGATAGAGCGCATTCTGATTTCCTTGGCGGTTTGACCAAAGGTTTGTATTGCTGTTGTGCCATCCTGGGTTATAATTATTACCTATGAAATTCACCTCCTCCTAGTCGACCTCTGTATTATGTGCTGACTTTGTGGGTTGATCTTGTGCTCTTATTAAGCTCTCTAGTTGCTTTGTGACAGTTGCCATTTGGTTTACGGGGTTGCTGCTCTCTGCTTGATAGACTGGTGCAACTTCCTTTCTTTTGAGGTTATATGTGTCAGCTGTGTGCCACTGAAAGCTAGCAGATGCCATTTTGTTTATCAATTTGTATGCGTCATCTGGGTCCTTTCTTATAAGAGATCCCCCTGCGGCGGCATCAATCGTGGCTCTGTTATTGATAGATAAGCCACTGTAAAAGATTTGCACCTGCTTCAAAGTTAGAAAATCATGGTGCGGGCATCTTCTCAACAATTCCTTGAATCGCTGCCATGCCTTAAACAGTGATTCTGTCTCATATTGTTGGAAACAACATATTTCTGTCATCAGCTTGGAGGATCTTGATAGAGGAAAGTACTTTCCTAAGAACTGTTGAGTGAGATCCTTCCAAGTTGTGATGGAATTGGCTGGGAGTGAGGAAAACCATGTATTCACCCTTTCAAATACTGAGAAGGGAAAAAGGCAGAGTCGAATAGTATCGTTGGAGACTCATTATACTTTATGGTGTCCGTCAATCAGAGGAACTTTGTCAGATGAATATTGAGGTCTTCATTAGGCATACCTCCAAACTGTATGGAGTTCTGGACCATGGTTACCTCCAAACTGTATGGAGTTCTGGACCATGGTTATGAGTGCTGATTTCAATTCAAAATTGTTTGCCTCCACATTTAGTGCTGTAATGCTTCCAAGAGTGTCTCTAGCAGTGGGTGTCATATAATCTTAGATCGATCTCCTTCCCTCTGGCATTCTTTACTCTCTCACTTCTTTTCTTTGTCTATGAACTGTTCTTTCAATATCCGGATCAAATACACAAGCTGTAGAGCACTTAGAATGAATGAACATACATTAAAAGAAATTATGAAATAATAAAAAAATTAAAATAAAATAAAAATGAAAATTATAACTTATAAAAGAAATTTTTTTAGCAATAAACAAAACAAAATTAAAATAAAGTAAAACACAAATTGCTCAAATCAATTAAATTTGAGATTTTCTTAATATTGAAAAAGCAATCCCCCGCAACGGTGCCAAAAACTTGTTCGGAGAGCAAGTGTACCCATCGAGAAGTAATACAGGGTTCTTAAATTAAGTTCCCGAAATATCGTCCCACAAGGATTGATTTCCAATTACTAAGAATTTCCTAATTCAATTGTTTAAGCTTCAAAGATACGAGATTAATTAAAAACAAGAATTTATAAAATCAATTATAAAACTAAAAGCAAGAAACACAAAGCACGTCTTGGTTACACTTATCAGAGAAAAACCTAAGGCGTATGAGTGTTCTCATTCAATCCTTTATGTTATTTTGCTGTTTTAAATCTAAACTCGATTTCCTTGTGATTACCAATCATTCATACAAATATTATTAATATTCACTGGTCATGCAATATTAATATTCTTTTCTCTAAGTTAAGATCTCCAATGGTCATGCAAGTTATCAATTTAGATAAAGTCTAAGGAACCTATGAATTTGTTAATTCAATAACGATTAGAAGTGAAAGATTGGTTTGGTCTACCTAATCTTTCATCTCGTTTTATCCTATAGATCTATTAATTAATCAAGGTACGATCGCCTGATGATGTAATTAATTAGGGTTAAGAGTGAGAAACAATAGGATAAATTCTAATCACGGAACAGAATTCGAATTAAGATTCAAATATCAAAATCTCATAAATTCATAAGCAATAATTCCCGTAGCCCTTACTATGGATTTAGTTATTCATGTAGAAAGAAAGAGCTAAAACAATCAATAACATATCCATAATGAAGAGATATAGCAAACTAGAAATGAGATGAATCTTCAGTCGTCAAGTATGGTTACTTGAAGCAAGTTTCTGCCAAGAGTATGCTGAGAATCCGTGCAAGAGAGGTGAAAAATGATCAAAAATTCAAAAGACTAAGGTTGTCTGTAAACTGGTGTCCAAAATGATTCTTTGACGATCCTCTCGCCCCCTATTTATAGAATTTGAACTCTTTTTAAAATTGTTAAGATTGAAGTTTCACAAATGAGCACGGCTGTGCACATAATGTAGCACGACCATGCATTACGTCGAAGTACTCCCGTGCTATGTTGGACATGCTTATTTTTGTGAGGCTTTTAACCCCATCCATTTGGGCAAAAAATGCACCAAAACTTACTTCCGCCTCTTTTCTACCAAACTGCGCAAACAATATATAAATTTGTGTAAAATCTCAATAAAGTAAGGGTTAGATATAAATATATGGCTGTAAAATATAGCCAAATTACAAACTTATCAATATATCAGGAAAACATAAATGCAAAAACAAAATGAAAATATCATTATTCAACCTAAAAAAATAAATACTTAAATTTTTTAAATCTAATTCCTATATTTGACAATTCTTTTAGTTTAGTTCATTCACAAAAAAATTACACTTCAGTCTTTAAATGAATAAATACTTTCAAATTATCCTCATTATTTAATATGTGTTGACGATGTTAGATGAAGGAATAAAGTAAAAAAAACTTATATAAGATTAAAACATAAATTTTAACTGTAAAAACAAATTTGTAATTAGAGATTATTATGAATTATACTTTAATCTTATTTTTATAACACACTTGTTTCTTGAATATCGAAAAAATTTACTTTATTTATAAGATTTTGTTAATCTCAAACTTTAAAGTTGAATTTAAGCATAGAAAATTTTTATTAAGAAAGAATTATTTGTTATATTAAAATTATAAAAGTATAATAAGTGTTTTTCCATTTAATAAAATTTTACTATGATTAATTCTTTAAGCTAAGTTCTAAGGGATTTTTTTATTTTTACTTTTTATCATACTTTCAAACGAACAAATAAAATATAAATGTTAATTTTTTTTACTATACATCAATTAATATAGAATATTTTTTTAAACTTTTTTATAAATTTATTTGAAGATATAAATTTTTAATATCTTAAAACTTTGAGTTCAATATTTTTTTTAACAACTCCAATTTTTTAATTTCTAATTAAAATACACATTTGGTTATTATAAAAATTCAATAACTGTTTCTTTTTATAATAAAATTATACTATATTTATTTGTTTAAACTTAGTCCTTAAGATCAAAATTTATTTTTTATTTTATATTTTTATCTTTTAAAAATATAAGTTGTTAGGATTTTAAAATTTTGTGATGTTTTCATTAGGGATCTCATTTTTTTTCTTCTAAATAAGTTTCTTTTTAAGGTTAGAATATGCATTTAATTCTTATAATTGACACTTATTTAAAAATTAATCTCTATAATTAAAATTTATATTTTAGTTATATATATATATATATATATATTGGTGCTTTTTATCTAATGTCTTTATAAGATTTTAAATGATAAAGACTAATAAAAAATATTTATTTATGTGAGAACTAAATTGTCATTTTTTTTTAGTAAAAATCAAATTATAAAAACGTATTAAGTATAAAGACAAAATTTATAATTTAACTAAAATAATCAGTATCCTAGTTGATAATGGAGTAAATTTTTATTCCACTAGATTGTGATAGTGATACAACTTTTCAACTTTCAAGTTAAATATAATTTTTATGAGATAAAATATCTTCCACACAATCATGAGTTTTAGCTAATTAGTTAAACATGACTGATACACCTATTTTAACAATATCACATGTAGATGATGAATAAACTCCATTTATTCCTCAAATTTCCATTACCATGACTACTCCTATCCTTTTATCCAGTACACTACTTCCTTCAACACGATTATTGTTAGAGCATTATATGTCTCAAAGTATTATTTAGTGTTTGGAACTAAATATTTCAGTAATGAAAAGATATGACTTGCTTCAAGAGCTAAACATTGTTTATTTTTACACTTTTTATACAAATTAATTTTTTATAATAATTTATTCTATCATATCATTATTTTTTAATGGTTATCTATTTTTAGATAAACCTTTTAAGGTTATTTAAAAAATAATCAAGTTTAAGTTTGATTGTCTTTGGCCTACTTCGACCGAGATGTTATGAAAAGTAAAAAATATATAGACTTTAAGGTAAATGTATTTTAATTCTATCATTTTTCAAATAATTTATTTTATATAATTGTTTTTATGCATAGAAAACATACAAGTGAATCTCTTAACATAATCTCACTATTAAAACTATTTTTGAGCAAAAAGGTTTGCTATTTTAAAAAATATAATGTGTAAGTTACGAAGGGATAAGGTCAAAGACTTTTGAATCACTCTTGATATGAAGTAGGAGTTTGAACATTTATTGTACTAGAAAAGAATTTTAGAAAAAAAGCATTATTAGTAAAAAAAATCAAAAGTTATAGGTAATGAAATATCTTTATATACTAGTGACTCTATATTTTCTGTTGGACATCATAATTAGAAGGTAATTATCTAAAAAATATATTTTTTATTAATTTCTATATTAAAAATAATAATTTAATATTAATCATTTAGAATTTAAAACTTAAGCGATTTCTACAACATTTGATATAATGTAAAGTAAAAAAAAAAAAAAAAGTTTGAGGATGGGTGAACCATAAGGCCAGAAATATTGTATATATCTTTCTTAACCTTACTTTTTATTTCAAAACTTTCTTAACAATGATTATAATCTGGTCTAACGAGTTGTCAACCATTTATAAATTTCGCCTCTTCTCCAAAGTAAATGATTGTTCTGTTGAAGATGATAGTGTTCCTTCTCTTCATGATGATAATCATGGTAACATTGACTTTGATGATTCATTTTTTTTTTTTTTACACTTGTCATGTGTATGACTATTGTGGATTTTTTATTTACTTTTTTTTATTTAAGAATTTAAGTTATGTTAATACATTGTCACAAAATGTATATTGATTTTGTTTCTTTCAATATTTTTGCGATCATTTTTATGATTTTAGAGTGTTTTTTAAAATTATAAACATGTTTTGTTAAAGTAAAAATACCAAAAAAAAAAGAGATTAAATTAATGATAGAATTTGTAATCGTAATATCTATCACATTTAACGAGTTACACAATAGTTGGAAAACAGCAATTAAATTTTGTAACCAACAATAATCGTATTTAAATGACCAACTTGGGATCAAAGCTAGACCGATTGTGTTGTTGCTCTTTAGCAATCGATTTTGCAATTAAAGTTATTATTACAATTTAGCAACCAACTTTGCGATTGAATTGATAATAAAAATTATCGACCAATTCTATTATCACATTTTTGTGACCAAATTTGCAACCCAAAATTCAATTGTGGATGCTATTTTTGTGACTAGAATTAGCAACCGTAAAAATAATTTTAACTACAAAAAGTTTTTAGTGGCTAATTTTTAAATTTAATGAGACCGTGTTTTCCACTAAGTTACTTTGAAACTAGCTTTTCAGCCACCACCTTAATTCAATTGCTAATTCAATCGCTATTTTTTTTTTTAACGATACCTAAATCATTTTTTTCTTATCGTGAAGCATGGTTTACTTTCAAGTTTAATATATTCATGGATCTCACTGTTACCTTGATAATTTATAACTTTTTCACATATAAATCTTATTTTTCTTGAGTATTACTAATTATCTAATTCTTCATTACTTTTTATTTTGAAAAGAAATTATCTGAATATCATCTTAATCTTTAAGTTATATTCCTTATGATTGATTCTTCAAAACCAAATTTTACTAGTATCATGTTGTTTGCGAAGATTTTTTTATTCTGAAAATGTTATGACAATTGATTTCTAAATGATTCTTAAAACTTATTTACTGAAATTGAATCCATGAAAGTACAAGAATATAAAAATACTAAAAAGAATATTGGTGTGTCGATGTATTGGCAAATTTATTTTTTATGATATTGAAATTGAGCATGGCTAAGAGATTGTAAGAAACATCTATGAATATTGTTATGAGATGAAAATTTACTATATGATATGAGAAAATGATTTCGAACAGACTTGATTAGATCATACACCATGAAGAATTTAAGAAAAAATAATTATGATGAAGGTATTTTTGTGTTTATGATGACTGATGGCATTTTATGAGAAACTCATAAATTTATGCTTTTGTATTTATTTAATTTTATAAGTATTTTATAGTATTTATCTTTCTCACCCATTTTTTACTGTATAAAAAGAAATGAAAAATTTGCCTATAGCCATGATGAACATTACCATGCACTGTGATGAAAATGAAATATGGTGTCGTCAGGAGACCAACTTTACTGCTTATTGGACTTTTTTGAGTTACAATTTTCTTTTATTACTCTTTCCTATGTCTTAATATATCTCGTAATAGAAAGAGTTTACAATGCTCTTGGACGCAATAGAAATCCAAGAGAGGAACTCTAAATATAGAGGCAATTAGGCTTTAGGTTTTATAACGAGTAGAATAAAAAGTTCGACAAATGACACTCTAAGAAAATCCTTACTAATGATACCATGAAAAATAGATTTCATCATATGACTAAATGAAAAGAGTAATTGTAATAATATATGCAAATTATGTGTGTGAAAGTTAAGTTGTGTTGTAAATAAATAATACCTTAACCTTATAATTTCTTCTCAATTTTATTTCAATCAGTTTAAGTATCTAACAGTTTATGTTTGTGATATGAAATAATACTTAAGAACTTATAAATCAATTATGAGATTGAAATAACTAACGTTAAGAATTCAAAAATAATATTATGATAAATTCTGTGATATCCTTAAAAAAATTTCAAGGTACATAAAATTTTTTAACCAATAGTATTTAAACGTGTTTTTAAATAATAAATTTATTTAATAATATATTATTATATTTGTTATATTTAAGTAAGTTCAAAAATGTTTAAATTTTCAAATAGAATTAGAACACAATTAAAATTTAAAAATAAAATAATAATATTATATTAATATATTTTTTATATTTTTAATTTTATATTATTAATATTTAATTATTATATTAATATATTATATTATAATAATTTTTATTTATAATAAATAAAAATTATTTAAATATAAATTATATTTTATTTGAAACTAAAAAATTATAAAAAATAATAAAAAAGTAAAATAAAAAATTTAATATACAATATATATAATAATAAAAATATGTAATAAATGATATAAATAATTATATATAATAATATTTTTTTAACTTGTCATATATTGTTTTTATTAGTATAAATTTTTTAAATACAATATCTATATAAAAAAATTTTTAGAATGTCACAATACACACTAAATATTATAACTAAATTGATGATTAAAGGAACCTGGAACATAATCATTTTATTAAGTGACGTTACATTTATACAGTATTAAAATGTTATAAATTTAGAGTGTTATATTTAATTAGTTTCAAAATATTGTAAATTTAAACTGTCATGTTTAGAGCGTTACACAAGGCTTCAAGGATTCTCTTAAGAAGACTCACAAGAACAAGAAAAACAATCAAATTTCACCGTGAGAAATTTGGCCACTCAAAGAATCCAAGTGATGACACTTGTTTTAGTAATCATTTCATCAACTTAAAATCTAACGATATGATGAAAATTTAGTTAGGATGCAATGAAAAGTTAAAATATCAGTTAAGATTTAACCAAATGAACTAAATTCACTATACTTACTCTATCATCAGCTTACCACCCACCACTTCGATTCATGAATTCCTTGTACCAAAACTCAAAAACACTTCTGCAAGTTAATTGAACAGTGTTTAAAATTAATCTAACATTTCGGTAAAAACATAATCTTAGTTGAGCTCAGTCTCAACCCAATTTGTTGAACGTAAATCTCATAGCAGGTAAAATTAGAAAATTGCAATTTTTAGGGGTGTTCCATTCATTTCAATTGAAGATTCCATAGGCAAAACAACATTTTTCCCACATTATTGATGAGTTAACCTTCAAGTGTTAGATGATTTATAATTTTGGCCAAATCTCCCCTTTCCTTTATTATTTTATAAGAGCATTAATCTAGCTGTACAAATGTGGATTATGGATTTGGTTCTACATTGACATTTTTTTCTTCGTTACATTAAAACTGTGGGGCATTTGATTGCTGAATAGAGCGGCACTTATAAAATGTCAATCTTGAGTTACTGCCCCTTAATACTCTTAGAAAAAGAAATTTGAGGTTGTCCAAATACGATAATACCCAACTCAACTATCTATAATAAGAAAGAGACAAGAGAGACAAAAAAGATGGATCGCAGCTTTAGTTTCATTAAACCATGAAGCACCTAACACTGCAATGACAAATTGACATCTTACATCAATAGATTGTAAAATTTAGCTTCCTATATATGTGAGGTGTCATGAACAATGGTGAATGAATACATCCACAGCGGGCAGCTCAAATGTTCATATTGTTAAATTAAAACGCCAGTTGTGATATTCCTAAGGGAGTAAATTTCGGGTAAGAAGACGTTACGATTACAAGAAAAATATTCAAGGGAAAGAAAAAACATACAATTAGTAGAATTCATTCAATTAAGATTTGTTACTCTTACATGAACTTGAGTCACTTAACAGCGTCTTCCTTTACAAAAATTACATTACGATTATTTCACCCTTTTTATTTCCTCTTCCCTTTTATGTTTGTGTAATGCCTATATAGAGCAAGTCCTAGTCAATTGTTTTCCCTTTGTATTAAACAAATATCATTTAACTTTCACCAGGTCCAAATTAACCATACTAGAGCTTGATAAACATAGACTGCAATAGCATATAAATCACAACCTAAACTAATTGTAAGGAAGTTAGTTTCTCTAAAAACCATAAAACTCGATCTAATCGAGTGTTTCACGAATGTACCATACACAGAAAAGCATAGTACCAAACACAGAGAAATAGACTGTCATGTTGTTAAAGACAAAAGTTCAAAATAGTACTCTAGATCTTAAAAGCTTTCTGTTTTATAGAAGGTATATATATACCTTTCCTATATTTGTATTGAAGAGTAAATAGTGAATTCAATAATCTTCTTTCATAGAAGAGTAAATTCAATAATATTATTTCATTCAGCTATCTCTCTCTTGACCATTCTCTAATACGTGCTTATTGCATTGCAGTAAGAAGAACCACAACAGTTAACTATATAAATAAGCACATAGTTGATTAATTACTAACATTTGTATAACTTGCTGTAAAACTAAAAAGGAAAACAAAATTATGGGCAGTTTGGTGTTAACATCATTTAATGTTATTACAGAAAATAAAAGTGCTAAACGCACTAGCTAGTTAAAAAAATTAAAATAAAACTTTTATGTTAAAAAATATAATAATATACTTGGTTTTAGTTTCTAATATATCTTAACATAATTTTAAAATATCTGCAATAACTTAAAAAAATATTTATCATCATTCTTATCTTAATAATTTTCTTAATATAATTTAATTTATTTTAATAATTTTAATGATAAAATTTACGATATATATCACATGCTAAAAATGTATCCCATGGATATTTAATTAAAACGCTACTATAAAAGATGATATTAAAACTAAGGCCCTATCTTTCTATCATATTCATTACCAACGCATCATGCATGCTTTGCTAATGGTAGCTCAATTCTTACTTCTTACACTACACAATAACAGTTGGTCCGGTGGGTGGCGTTATATCCGGCGGAGTCGTTGGCGGCGGCACAATGTCCGGTCCCGGAGGCCGTGGTGGAACCACATCCGGTGGCTGCGGCGGCAAAACATCCGGTGGGTTAGGCAGCGGCATGTCAGGCCCGGGTGGTGATAGTGGTGGTTTTGGCCCATCCGGTTTGGGATTGGGGTACGGCTCAAACCGGGTTGGATCTGTAACTATTTCGGGCAGCAGACCCGGGTCCATTTCCGGATCCGGGGTTGGAACCACAGGCTGCTCTTTGGGAATTGAAGAAGGTTGGGTTTTGGGCAAGGATGGTATCTCGGGTGGAGCCCTTTGCGGGTATTCGGGTTTCTGATTGGGGTGATGGGTCATGGAAAGACCCGAGATGGAGGTGGTGTAGGGAGGGAGAGGAATCATTCCTCTTTTGATGGTGTAGAGAGAGGATGAGATTAATGCTGACATTGATGACATTTTTCGCTTTTCGTTCTTCGGATTTATTTGTTGTTGTTGGTCATATTTATGGAATGGGATCTCTGATTAATTGCATGGTGAAAACACTTGTATGTTGTACGACCCTCCACGTGGCAATCGACTTGTTCTTGCATGTTTCTACTTAACACGTGGCAAAATTCTGCATGTTGTGTATGCAAACGGTGTTTTTCTATTTCTTTTATTTTTAAGATAAGGGAATCACAAGACATAATTGAAAAATATTTTCCTTTCTATCTTACATGGCTTCAATTTCATATGGAAAATGGTGTGTAGGTTGCAAGCTAATGGGTTGGTCCATTAAATCCCATGTTGAATTTGGGCTATCTAATAACCCAATCTAATTTCAAGATATAGTTGAAACTAGTCCTGGTTTATTTGTTAGCATAATCATGAATGAAAAAATAAAGATTATTTAAAACATTCAAAATAATAATTTTTTTTATTTTTTTTTATATATATATATATATGTATATATTTGAACACATTTAAAAAATTGAATAAAATAATTATAACGTGAAGACAAAAATAAAAAGTAGACTAAACCTTTACTTTAATCCCTAAGACATTTAAAATATTACGTTAGTCTCCAACTTCTTTCTCTTTCATTCATTTTAGTCCTTGACATCTGACCCCATTAAGAAACCGTCATATAAGGCTGAGTTGTCACGTTAAGTGCTATGTCAGAATCTCACTTGACAACAATGACGTCGTTTTTGGAAGCTGGCATGTCACAAATAATTGCGAAATAGTATCTTTGTCATTGAAGCCCTTTTTACCTAAATTTAATCACATATTTTCTCATTTTTGTTGAAGAACCCTATCCTAAGTCCACACAGAATCTCGTCCAAATTATTGTTTGTAGTTGTGTTTGGGAGTGAAATATTTAAAGATTGAAGTTTGTTGTAGTGGAAGAAGGGCCAACAGATGGAGAATTCGGTAAAAAAATATATTTCTTAATTTATTGAATCATTTTTTTGGTTTGGAGATAAAGAACCCTAACTCTTCAATGTTTTGGGACGACGAACCTTAAGTGTTCAATGTTTAAGGGATGACAAACCCTAACTGTTTTCTTTCTCCTTAATTGGTGTGAATATGGTTATTGAAAAATGCTTTTTGTTTGTTATCGAGAAAACAACAAGGGATAGTAGGAAGTGGTCCTTTTATGTTTCTTATGACTTTTTAGTTTTTAAAATTAAAGAAGATAATATTAATGAAAGTGGTCCCTTTCTGCATGGTTTAACCCATTTTCCCATGTGCGTGCATGACATTCATTGTTTATTCATTAAATTAGTTTAAAATTATAAAAGCTTGCTGACTTTTTTAATAATTGTTTATCTGTAAATGCAGACAATTAAGTTTTACATTCACCATAAAGAAAAATTTGTGGAAGAAAATGGAATTAAGGAATACAGGTGGGATAAAATTGAGGTTTGGACTAATGTTAATGAAGATATAGTAGATATTTTTAGTTTCATAAACTTTGCCAAGGCAATGGGGTATTTCAGTAACATAAAAAATATATTCTAGTTTGACCCTGATAAAGAGTTTGATGAATGTTTGAAATTATTAAAATATGATGCTGATGTGTTGGAAATAGTGACTATTACTGAGAGGAATAGAAGGGAGATGCATGTCTATTATGGGCATGAGATTGGTAAACTACAATTGCTTGAAGACCGTGAAATTCTAATGTTGGAAGGTCCTGAAGTTGATATTGCAATAATAGAAGAAATTCAAGTTGAACAAGCAATAATGGAAGAAGACATTCAAGTTGAACAACCAGCAATGGAAAAAGGTATTGAAGTTGAATAACCAGCAATGAAAGAAGTACAAGTTGAAGATATAATAGCAATCCACAAAGTACAAGTTAAAGTTGATAGGAAACAGCAGAAGAAAAAGGCAAAGGGAAAAGGAAAAGACGACTCTAGTAAATCAGCTGGAGAAATAAGAAGAAGTTTGCGAATAGGAGGCAGGAAAGACAACCTTCAATCAGCTACATCAAAAAGAAAAAAAAAAGCATGGGAAAAGAAAAAGGAAAAGGAAAAGAGGCACAAAAAAAAAAAAAACTGAAGGAAAAGGTAAAGAAAAAATTACCTATATTGATGAAGAAGATTATTTACATGAGGAACTTTTTGAAAATACTATGGAAGATGTAGAAAAGGTGAGTCATAGGGAAACATACTACTGTGAAGAAAGAGAAGAGCATTTTGAAAATTCATGGAGGTTTGAAGAATTAATAACTCCAACAAACCCAGATTTGATGAAGATAGTAACAAACAAGTTTTTCTCCAATTTAATGAATCTGCAAAATTTGAAAATGTTAACTTGGAGTTGGGAATGGAGTTTGAAAGTTTATAATCTTTCAAAAAAGGCGATAAGGATTATACAATTCAGATGGAAAGAGAAATAAGGTGGGTAAAAAATAACAAAGTGAGAGCAAGAGCTAAGTGTAAACATGAAAACTGCAAGTGAAAAATATATTGTGCAAAAAATAATATCTCACATAGCTTCTAGATCAAGACTTTTCCTAGTGAGCATAGTTGTGGCAGAATTTTTAAAAACAAACAAGCAATACAAGATTGGGTTATAGGTAAGCTTGTTATAAAACTAAGGAAACACCCCAAAATGAAACATTCTAAAGTTGTTGAGTACTTTAAAAAGAAATTTGGTGTGCAGATAGAAGATGCCAAAATATATAGGTCAATGGTTAAGGCAAGAGAGATTGTAGAGGAAAGTGAGAAAGAACAATTTAGGAAGTTGTGGGACTATTGTGGAGAACTTTTGAGAAGTAATCCAGGTTCAACTGTCAAAATGGAAACTAATCTTCAAGTTGAAGGTCCACTACAATTTAAAAGATTGTATATATGCCTTGCTGGGTGCAAAAATGGCTTTATGGCTGGATGTAGACCAATGATAGGGCTTGATGGTGCATTTCTAAAAAGTTATTACTAAGGATAGTTGTTGACAACAGTGAGATATGTTGCTAATAATCATATATGAGTAATAGTCAATGCTGTTGTGGATGTTGAAAATAAAGAGAATTGGTAATGGTTTTTTATCACTCTTACATGAAGATATGGGAGATTATAAGCAACATAATTGGAATTTCATATCTGACATGCAGAAGGTAAACATCTACGTAGGATGAAGTTACTTATTACTTAGAATTGACAGGGACTTAATTGTATGAATAATAAATCAATTAGGGACTAAATTGCACGATTTTTATTCTATTAAGGACTAAAATGAACTTTGTATTTTACTGCAGGGTTTGATTCCAGCTTTGCAAGAAGTGATGCCAGGTCCACGCCATAGGTTTTGTGTGTAGCATCTATGGCAAAATTTCTGTAAGCAATGGAAGGATAAAGTCTTGAAGCACTTTGTATGAGAATGTGTAAGATCAACTACCATATCACAATTCAATGCAAACATGTACATAATAAAAACAATGAATGAGAAGGCATGGGCATAATTAGACAAGTGGCCAAAGGAGGCATGGACTAAGGCATACTTTAGTGAATGGCTAAAGATGGATAACATCTGTAAGAATAACTGCGAGGTCTTCAACTCAAAAATTGTAAATGCAAGGTGTAAACCAATATTAACAATGCTAGAAGAAGTCCGATGCTACATCATGACAATAATTAGTACCAATAAGTTGAAGTTGGCAGCCCATGCATGTCAGTTGCCTCCTATACAACAAAGTAAGTTGGAGAAATTAAAACAACAAAGCATTAAATGGACACCAATATGGGCAGGTAAACATAATCCTAATTCTCTAATAATTTTTAGTAGTATAACATTAAATTTGTCTTAACTAAACTTCTATCATAGGTGATGATGATACTCATAAATTTGAAGTGCAATGTTTCACAACTAAGGTTGTTGTTCACTTGGGCAGCCACACATGCACTTGTATATTTTGACAATTAACAGGTTAGTTAATTCTATATGATGAGTAATGTGTTAAATCTATATGAATATGTAGCATATATAATGTTTGATATTTTTTTTTCTTATAATTTTTACAGGTATGCCTTGTATGCATGTTATTGTTGCAATAACATATAAAAATAAGAGACTAGAAAATTACTTCCATGGATGGTTAACAATTGAAGCATGTTGTGCAACCTATGAATATCATGTTCAACCATTACAAAGTCAAGATTTTTGGGAGAAAAGTGAGCTAATTTCACCACTGCCACCAACTGTTAAGAGGACTGCAGGCAGACCTAAGAAGCAAAGAAGAAAAGATGAACAAGAAAAGCAAGAAACTGAGAATCCACAGAAACATAAATTGAAAAGAAAATTGCCACAGGTTAGGTGTTCATGTTGTGGAGTTCTAAAGTACAACAAACAGACTTGTCCTGTGCTGAAAAAGTAAAGAATAGAAGACTCTCAAGCCCAAAACAATAACTCAACACATTAGTCCATCACCATACCTACAGAAGAAGCCCCAATATAACAATCTTCTACTGTACCTGCAAAAGAAGGGCCAACAGATGCCATACCACAAGAAAAGAAAGGTAGAATTAGGCTTAAATTAACCATTAGGACAAGGTCATCTGTTGCAAATGTTCCTACATCACTTCAGTAAAGTCCACCACCATCTTCACAAAATGAAAAGGGAGATGACTCTGCAAAAGCTGCACAATTCATGCCAACACCTGGAATTAGGACTGCAAAATGAGTTGTGATCATGTTACTTGTTTTAATTATTTTTTATGTAACAAGTTTATATTATGTAAGATTTGTGTCATTTGGACATGTTTTATTTAGAATAATTATTTTGATTGGACAAGTTGTCATGTTTTAGGTTCCACCAATTTAATGCATTGAATAATTTTATTTCCATTTAGTTTTTTATGTTGTTAGTTATTATTTAGTATTTTTATAATTTTTAAACCAAAATTAGGTACTGTTGTAATGTCATGACAATGAAAACTTACATAAATGGTACTGTTATTTTTAAGCCAAAA